TTCTAGCCATCTACAAACATAAGTGTTAAAACATCTAACTTGGTAAGAGTCTTATTAGCATTATGTTCAGAGCTATTCTTGTAGATTTCTATCAGAGTATTCCATCTAAAGTTCTACCTGAGCATGCATTCTTTATCAGGAGTTCCTTTCATCTTGGAATTGAGCTGGAATTGACTTATTTGATTTGTTCTCCTTGTACTGCAACAACAGACAAGCAAATGAAACTGAAGTAAACATGAACAACAAGAGATAAACTCATTTCAAAGCAACATTCACTTCTTTGTAAAATGAGAGAATTAGATCTTGTATGGTGTAGATATTTCTGTTTGTGCACTTTCCTCACAAGGAACAAAATATATTTATCTCATTTATCAAAATAAATCAAAATGACAATTATCTTTTGAACACATTTGCTTACTAAATTCACTAAACTTACTCCTCCATCTGTGTTTCTCTTGATTTATGCATGAGGAACACTACCCACTTGTGAACATGTTAAAAAAATTTTCTACATCGTTTTTTTTTTTTAGTATCCGACTTTTATATTCTTATCTTCTGATTATAGTCTTCAGTCAGTCAAACAATAGATTAGCAAAGATAATGTTTTCTACTCTTAATATATTGATAAAAATTTTTTTTTTTTTTTTTTAATTTTGATAATATTTTTCTTTGAGACTTCAATGTTGCCACAAAAAGATTTTAATCAGATATATTCCTGGTTGTAACATGTAACAAGATTTTACTTATAATTAGTTAATGTTTATACCTCTTTTCTGGTGAAAACATGAAAATAAAAAGTTTTCTGGTTATACTGCATATTACAAAATTATTTTTTTTAATAATTTTTATATACACTGTCAAATTTTATTACACTAGTTAACAATAAAATTGCTATTAATCAACTGTATTGGTAAAATTTTCAGGATATACTTGTATTTTCTCTTATGTTTTCTAAAAAAGAAATCATCTACTGATAAAAAGGGTTTATTCAAAAGTTACGAGAAAAGTTAACCAGAATTGCCTAAGGTCAGAATAACACTTGTTCTCCTTTATCTTCATATGATTTTTGTTTCTTTTAGTTGATAATTATCATCATAAAAAGACAAAATAAAAGCAAACCTTGCTTTTAAATTGTTTTAATACAAAACAAAAGTAACACTCCAGTTTTTTAATAATACAATAGGTGAAGATTTATTTATATTTTTTTTTACACTTGTTAGCATAATAAGATAAAATAAATTTCTCTTATAAAGTTATCTCTCTGAAATCAAAATATAATATCTGTTGTTAATGTTCAATTTAGAAAAGAAATCAGTCTAAAATGCATCAGTAGATGTAAATAAATATAAAAGTACATATATTTCAGTATCTCCTCATAAGTGATCTCAAACAAACTTTGTACACTGTTTATATTGGAAAAACTATTCTTAGCCAACAAGTTTCATCCTCTTTCGAACTTTATCAAGGCAAATTTTATTCATTTTGTTCCTTCACAAATTCACTCTATCTGAAATTTTTTTTTATATTGCATAATCAGTAATAATGTTTAAAAAATGAAAAAAACTGTTATTCATTGGTTCTTTCTAGCAGCTATTTTCTGTGGAAAAATTAAATTTTAAAAACTTTTCTGAGATTTTTCAATATATTTTAAATGGGGGTAACTTTTTTCATCTGAAATAAATTTGATTCTATTGCTTGTCAAAAGTTTTGCTTTTATAATATGAATACTTTATTCCATAAAAATAATTGTTTCAGAACAGATGCACATAAGTTTTTGTTTTTGCTAAATTCTTTTAAGTATAGTTTTTTTTTAAAAAAAATAAAATAAAAAATAATATCATAAACCACAGCAATACTATAAAACAAGAATTCATGTCTCTGTTTAATGTCATTGACATGTACATTTGTTATCAAAGGTTTTACAATAAGCCTGAAATGTAGCTACTCAACAATTTTTGAAAATGTTTTATATCTTTCTATATGCTTGGAAAACATTGTTAATGCTACCAGCCTTAAAATTATCTGAATTTTTAATATGACAGTTGTCTTAAAAAATAATGACTTTGGTATATCTATTTTTGCTCATATAAAATCTGACATTCATGAAGAGTCTTTTAGGTCCCTAGAAAAAAGCTATATATATATATATATATATATATATAAAGATACTTTGCATCTTTTTACTCTAAACAAATTATATTTTCTGCATCCATCTTTACATTGATCTGTCTCCTCTCACTGAAATGAACTCTGTTCTGATGCATCCATTCTGGTAAAAGAAGAAAAAAATCAATAGTTGCAAGGATCAATTTTCTTGAATTATCCAAAGTTTGTTCTGGATCACTTTGTCATGTGACATCTGGTGCTGACATTCTAATAATTTGGCTTAACTAAATTGGCCAACACATCTTGCTTAATAAGTCAACAGTAGACTAGTTTTGGACCTTGGAATCAAATGAAGGTCATGTTTACAGTCTAAGCAAAAGAAATCTAAAAAAATAAAATGAGAAAACATTAAAATGATGATAGAAGAGATCTGTCATCCTGAAAACATAATTAATGGTTGATAAAATCATTAAGCATTTTATAGTGATGCTTGTAGGTATTGTTGAATTATTTAGTATTAATCTCCAGGCCTCAGTGTCTAACTTCTTGGTTAACAAAACAAAAACGGCAAAACTCTGAACAAAGAAAAGAAAGTTTAAAAACAAAAAAATATCTTGTGAAACATTTGTCATAAAGTGATTTTAATTGTGGTCATAACCTGGTATCATTTAATAGTGAGAATCTTATCTTCATAATTTGTTGATAACTCCAGGTTTATTTTAATTTCCAAACTTATGTTGTATCTGGTAATTATGAAATAAGTGTTTGAAAATATCACCAAATAACAGTGTATGGTTATGAACTTATTAATTCACTATCGTGTGTGTGTATGATGACATAAATACACACACATGCACGCACAAAAATGTATGGATTTATAAGCAGACATAAATAAAGAAGCTGATAGTGGAGATTCAAAATAGTTGAAGATACAAATTTATTAAAATTCATATGAACACAATCATTTCTGTTTGAATTTTTGTAATAAGAAATTATCATCCTTTATATTTACATGTGAACTATTGTTTTCATCTTTGTTGTTATCATGTTTTGGCCATTGTGTCCACTGGCCTTCATCAGGTGCTTTTTAATCTGGTTAACCGTCAGGAAATTTCCAGCTGAACCCTTTATTTAATCTCTGGGGTTAGATTGTTCTTATTCCATTGACCTTTTTAGGAATATCTCGTTCATGTTTAGTACTGCTCAGTTATTGCTTGCCGTTTCCACTGTGTCCAAGTACCCAACCCAGAGATTAAACTCAAAATTACTATGTCACCAAATTCATAGACTTTTGTCCTATGGGAGACTTGAACATAGCCTACCTGCTGATAGGTGCTGCTGCTGCTACTTGAAAATCATTTATTTTTGCAATATATAATTAACATTTTGGGGAAATGTTCTATAAAAGCATTAAACACAATACAAAAAATACAAAATTGTTAAAAAAATTTCAAAATACAGTGTAGTTTCTTTGTGCTATGTCCTTTCAGGATGTGTGAGCAATCATGGTTCTCCACAATTCTTCCTTGTAGCACTAAGCAATATTTACCTCTTACTATCTCTCCCTGTTCATGTTCTGCCATCCATTTATACAAGCTTGTTAAGTATAATGTTCACTGCTTCCTTCTACCTTTCTTGCTTTCAATATGCCCTGTGAGTGTCAAATTCTTCAAGACTCTTTTCCACAATATGGTTTTCCCCCAAGTGTAGCTTATATGGTGAAAATATGGCCCATGCATATATTAATCAAGAAGATTGAACTGGACTTGTCTTCTGAATTCCACTATTGATTAAGTCATTAATGTGCATTTGCATGTTCAATGAATGTAAAAATATAGAAACACTGAAAAAAAAGTTATGTAATTTTATTTACATACTTTTCACTTCATTTGTGATTTAAAAAAATGTTTGATCAAAGAAATTGATATAATTTGTTTTAATAAAATATACACCACCTTTTGAAATATTTCTACAATTTGAATTGATGGATTTTTTTTTTTTTTATTATAAAACTCAATTTTATTTTTATTTTTTAATTATAAGACTCAATTATATTTTTACAGTATTAAATATTTTTTAAAGTTTATCACAATTCTTTATTTCTCAATGAAATAAGAATAGGAGTTTTATTTGCTTAAATTTTATTTAGTCCAGAAAAAAAAACCTTCAATTTTATATGTTGAAGTATATGCTTTTCCATTTTCCATACTGGGGATTGTACACTTGACTCTATCCATTAGATAAAGCAGTCCATTATAATAAAATAAATTCAAGTATGATTCCAGACTTTTAAAAGCTGTTTGTTTTACAGTATTGTACATATAGAATTATCATGAATAAAATTTCAGTGCTTTTGCACTGTATTAGAATTTGTGTAAAGCATGAAATCAGTTTATATAGCTATTTGTCGAAGATATCAGTGGTGTTTGGCATCCATTATCAATGTCAATTCTTCTATGCCACATAAAACATTTGTTTATTTTTCTTTCTTTTTTTTTCAATGGTATAGCATACAAAAGGATGGTAAAAAACACTATTTAGAATGCTTACAATCAAGTGTATTAAATTTGGAGAAATCTTACTATTTAAATAAGAAATAAACCTCATAAATTTTAGATATAATTTTTTTGCAAAAGTAAAATAATTATCATTGATTGGTGGTAAGGTTATTGACAGCATTGTTTAGATTAAAAAAAAAATTTCTTTTGCAATTTTTGTAACAATTTACTTGTAGAATTTTATACATTTTCAAGTACAATCAACCAACTGAATGGTTTTGTACAATTATATATGTACATTTAATATAATTTATGAAAAAAAATGTTATTACATAAACAATATTATTATTTTTTTCTTTCATTGTCATATCTTTTTTTCATTTACTCTCTTTTCAGCTTTCAGCTCCACCTCAAGTACAGTGTCCACAACAGGAACATCAAACAGTGGTAATAATTCAGGGGTGAGTCAAACAGTTTACTTGGTTTTCTTAGTAAATTTTCCATCTTTCTTATTGCATATGCTCCTCACATTATTTTCTGTTATGGGTTGTTGACAGTTGTTGCTGCAGAGCTACCTTGGTTAAAAACTATAAGTTAAAGCTGAGTTTGACACTTCTGAAATTTGCAATAAATATATATAGGGTATAAAGATCAACTCTCATAATTAAACTCTATGCTGCCTAGTATATTTATTAATGTTGTTACTCTTATGTTGTTCTTTTCTTTTTCTCATAAATGAATGAAAATAAAAAGTTTTGGTTAAAAGATTTTCATAAAAATCAACTAATATGTACACTAGAATATCTAATAAAAATAATATATACATAAATGTGTTAAAATATTTTAATAATTTAAATGAGTATGAAATATTTTAAAACATTGATTAGGCACATATTTTATGCAAAACTTTCACTAGTTGTCTTACTGCCAAAATCAATATGCACATTTCCTCTGCTGCCATCTCGCAAAAGAATAACTCCTCTTATGGTAGTATGTTAACTCAATCATGGAACTAAACTGACAATTTGACAAAAGTTTGTGTCAGTAAACAGGTTAAGGACTATTTCCAAACATTCTAATTGAGCATACATACAAAAAGACACATACATTTAAATTTTTATTAAAAGATAACAAAAGAATTGTCTTGTTCCCAATGTGTTTATTACTTCATAATGAGACATTATCAATGCAAAGATTTTATCTCCTTAATAAATTGGACTGAATTGGTGACCAAGAGTTATGGAGTTAAATTAAGACGGTAGCGCAGAAGTGATGTAATTCGTTCTAATTTTAAGTGAACCTAGTTAGTAAATTAAAAAAAAAAAAATAACTTTCAATTTTTTTTTTTTTTTTTTTTAACCTTTTACGTTTGAAGAAAAATTTCTGCACTGAAAATAACATTTAAATTGTGAAAAAAAAATCAAATTTTACAAGTAAAAATGAAACAGTAACAACATTTTTTTAAATTGAGTTATACATATTTTATTTATTAACAAAATTAATATTGAAATGCTATGCAATCGATTTCAAATTTTGCTTTGTTGTTAACTGAATGAATGCAAAGTAATTTCTGAAGTAAAAAAAACTTGCTTCTATCTAGGGAAACAACTCTACCTCACGTGACGTTATTTCAAAGTTGTGCATCCATACTTTCGTTGGAGACGATTTTAAATACAATTTTGGAATATTAAAAAATTATTTTAAAAATATTCACGGTTGTCAGATTTTAATAAGCTTTCAAATTTATGATCTATAAGAAGTAGAGAACATAATATGTCATTTCCATAAGGCTTTATAAAGAAACTTAATTTTAAAATATATAACAACATTTTGTCATATTGTGTATTTAAAATAGAAAAAAAAGAAAAAATTATTGTAAAAATTCATTTTTCATCAAAATTTTTTTTTTTTTTTTCAGATAAGAATTACCTTAGTATATGTTATTCAGAAAAGTCATAAAAAGTTTTTTAAATTAAATATTGTCTCGGTTTTATTGGGTTTTGTATTTGTACAATTGAGTTAAAAGTTTGGACAATTTTGCGCATTTTTTTACCAAAAAAATCGATGATTTAGAATCTTCAGAGTCTTGTGCATTTAATTGAAAAAAAAATATCAGGCTTTGAAAATTAATTTTTGAAGTTTTCATAAAATTAAGTTCGGGGGGTGTAACAGATATAAAAAAAAACTATTTATATCATGACTTTCAAAAAGACAAACATTTCTAAAATAATTTCATTCATTTGTGAATAAGTTCTGAAAGTTTCATTAAAATCCAACAAGTACTTGATTTTTGCAAGATTTTCCAAATCAATGTGTCTTTTGCAACTGAAAACAGTGAAAAACAAGTAATGTTAATATGACCTAATTTTTTGACCTAAAAAAAAACAAGATTTTCAACCTAAATTTAAAAAATGCTGCAAATGAAAAAAAAATTTTTAAAAATAATTAAAAAATACCTTGGTCTTCCCTCTTTAATTTTAACATAAACATTTACACCTTACATTTTTTTCTTTCAATTTGGGGACCTTTTTTCTCCAGGGTATACCACTTTTTTAGCGTTACCTGGGACATGCCTAAATTAAGATCCATTTACAACTTTTATCTTTTTTTTCTGTAGCAATTAATTTCATACATGTAAAATCTCTTATAGTCATTGGACCAATATATCTAAATTTAGTCACTCTTAAAATGTTCAGTGACATGTTTCTTTATTAAATACAGTAACATGTTTCTCTGTTTGCTTTAAAAATCATTCTTGTTAGTTTTACTTTTGTGTCTAATTTTACTTTATAAGTAAAAGTGTGTTTCTGTTATCTGGGAAACAGTTTGATTTGAATAAATCATCTAAATTGTTGATATTTTATTTAATGATTATAAATCTTGAAATGTCTAAAAAAAAATATCAGTATTATTGTCTGATAGAAAGCATCTTAAAATTTTTGGTTTAAAAAAAAAATGAAGAATTCTTTTTTTTTATAATAACTTGTATCTATCATTGATGAGTATGTAAAGAAGCAATAATTGAAGTAATCAAAAGTAAGATTTAAAATTTGTTCACTTTTATTACCTTTTCACGAATATGTTGTATTTCATATCTCATTTGTATTGACTTTGTGTCTAAAACTCGCCAAATTTCATAACATTGAAGTTGAACTGAAGGAAAAAAAATTCATTCTTCGTCTTAGAACAATTTCAAGAATTAATAAAAACAAATAAAAAAAGTAATTGTTTGCAATTTTTTATTTTACCCGATGAAGAGTATCCTTTTAAATTATTTAACAGTTTTATTTCTCTGTCTTCATACAAACTTTTAAGACAGTCGTAAAAAATAAGAAGTCCTTGTTAGTGTTTTGATGATTTAAGAGCGAAATAGCAAAAACAATAGCCAAGGGGAATAACTTCGTCATTTGACTTACGGTTGTCCTTCCATCAATAGACGAAGACCTGATGTGACTAATGGACAGAACAATCATTGATCGTTACAATGACAGTCAATACATTTTTTGATTTCTATATTGAGAATAATATGACATTATTAATTCTCAACTTCAACAAATTTAAAATTAAATTCTATTAGGGTAATAATTATTTATTAATAATTGTTTTCTATTACGTATTGGAACTTTTTTTTTTTTTTGTAGCTCTCTTTACCAAAGAAAATATACCTCTAATTTTTGGATTTATAAAAATTTTAAATATTATAGAACGCCTTCAATTACAATAGAGTTTTAGCCCATTACCGTAATTCACACATTAAAGCAGTTATTTTAGATTTAGGGGAAACTGCCTTTACACTAGTTGTACTTAATAAAAGGCTACCATTCTTAGAAAAACTAAAAAAAATGTACATCAATTCTTTATTCTTCATCTATTCATCTGGCAAAAATTGGATGATAAAAGTAAATGAAATTGTTTTTTGCAATTTTCAAAATTGTAATTGAGATAAATATTTAGCATGTTGCCTAATCTTTGTAAAATCTCAAGAATTGATTATAGAAACTGAACTCTAAGAAAGTTAAATATTAATGCTCTTTTTACCAGAATATTTTCACTAATGCTTTTTTATTAAGCAGATAGTTGTGATACAAACTTTCCATTATATTTATATACAAGGGCTGATAGTATATTAATGTTACAAATATATTTTTGCCATTGCAAGGTATTATGCTTTGTCATTTTTGGTCATCCATTTCAGTTGTTTAAAAATTTAAGCAGGTTTTATGAGTGATTGAATTGGCAGGTAATGGACATTGACTATAAACAAATGTATTTTTCACAATTTTAATTAAAACGTAATATTCTTTTCAAGCTCCTGTTAAGTAATCAATAGTGAATTAAAAAAAAAAATTATTGAATTCTGTAATAGATACTTTATTTTTTATAGAATTTAATTTTTTCTCTCAGATATTTGTGATTTGATGTGATAAAATATTGGATTAAAAACTCTCTAAACCTGCTTTATGTAAACAAAAGTCATTTTTCTTAAATACTATATGCTATTTTCTTGCAATTAAAACCAAAATTAAACCTTCAAAGAAGATATTTAAATTATTGCAATAAATTAGAAAATTTTGTGAAAAATGTCTGATCAGTTTTTTATTTAATAATAGGAAACTGATCTCTCACTTCATTAAGAAAAATTTCAAACACATTTTAAAAGTTGCTTTAAATATTCAAAATTAACTTTCATTTTATAACTTTTTATTTGGATGTATTTTAGGGATATGAAAGATGTATCAAGTTTACACTCTTAAATATAAAAAAATGTCATCTTTTGTGCATTATTACACAACAGACACTGGCATTTTATATATAAACAAGGAATCATTTTCTCCATTCTATGTTTGTGAGGTGTTGTGCTATTACTATTTACTTATCACAGAATTTAGCTACTTTGCATTCTTGTCTTTTGTTTCTAGAGAATGACTAATCCCTATCACTCTGATGTAGAAGGTTGTACTGTGTAACATTTCCCTAAAAGCTCACATACTTCATACTCACAATGTATATTGCAAGAACTCCCAAATGCAACCATTTTAACTTTTAATGGGTCTATTCAAAATGCAGACACTATAAGTAATCAATAATTTTTTAAACTTTTTATAGCGCCCTCTCCTAACTGTGATAGCTACTTACAATTCTACTTTCCATTGACCCCCTTATCAATCTGAAAATAAAATCTTTTACCTCAGATCATGAGTCAAGCTAAAAACAAAAATTGGTGATTAGTGTATAATGTCTACAAATATTATGCTTATACCATTATATATATATATTATACTTGTATTAAAGCTTGTCTGAAAAGTAGATCAGGTGTTTTGAATTTATATTTAAATTTAAGTAATTATATCAGCAATTTACATAATTTTAATAGTAAATGAGTTTCCATATTAAATCTCTACCTTTTTCTCATAACGGAAAGTTTTCAATTTTTTTAGGGGGGGGGCGAAAAAAAACACTG